TCCCTTGTAAGCTATAGGGAAGAAAAAAAACCTTAAAACATAGCTCAAGCAAGCACATCTTTAAGTGTATAATTAGATACACCTTCTATTCCAGACTATTTGTACTGAAGTCTACATGACCCTGTCCCATCAATCATGAGTGACTACACAGAATATGCGCAATCTAGCCAAAATTAGCTTGGGACAGCAGCACAAGCAGAAGAGGAGCCGGAGACCCAGCAGGACAGTCTGTTCTGTCTATGCAGGTCTCCGCATGCTCAAGAGCGAGTGTCTGGAGGCAGGGCTGCGTTCAGTTTTCACTCCTTCTATTTCAAGGAGAATGTTGAGGTGCAACTGAAGTCAGTCCTAGAAAGGATGCTGTTTCATGGCAAGTAATGGCTGGTTACCAATACCACGTCAAGATTACATGAATCAGGCTAACAATGTGCAGCTCTGTCCTCAGCAGTGTTTAGGACCAGCTATTCTGCACGTGCAATGACTGTAAAAGCAGTATTACATTCCAGGGGTTTCATGAAATGTTACACAGTTGTTCGGAGTTTACTATGAACTTCCATGGAATGAGTAATCATTATTAGTTGTGTGAGAAGCGTGGAAATAACTTTTAATGACCACATTTTCCTACTGAGACTTTCAGCTTAAGTAATCAAGGCAGACTTTGTTTGCCTAGGATCAGATTCAATCCACAGTCTGTGTAGCGCTAATTTAAAGAGATTGCTTCTGCAGCTTGCATCGTGTAAAACCTAGGATGTATTCCATAAATTATCTAATTTTACTGTGAATGTGGTGGTTGTGCTGCTTCTACCATCAGCAGAGGGAACACCCATTTACCATTACATGACAGGATGCAAATCTAAAACAAGCAGCAGCCTCCCGGTTACTCCTGCCTACCAAGCAAGGCTGTTCAGCAATTTGCCTGCAGCAGCTGTGAGTGGTTAGGGTGTTGTGATATAGGTGTTCTCTCCTTCCTTCCCATCCTCTCCACACCCCTAATCAAGCCTTTTAAGCAGCCCCTCTGACAATCACACATATTTAGCTATTTGTTTGTAAGCGGAGTTCAACACTTAATAGTGCTAGACAGCATATCAAACAAGCACCCTGAAAGAAGTGGGAACTGTTTTCAGTAGGAGACACTGGGAATGTACGTTCCTAGTCCAGCTATTGAACTGTCTGAACACAGTCATCAATTTTGCTTTTGTTTTTAAGCAAGTGTTCATGATCTTTTAATGAAAGGCACTGTAGAAGTTTCTAAAAATACCGTGTTGCCAAACAGCCTTTCCCCCTTCCAATCTCTTTAGACTGCTTTTTGACATCAGTCTGCAAAATCACACAAATCAGTCAGCCCAGTCCTACTTAAATGATTCATAAATCCAATTATGCTCGCTTCTTTATATAGCATGCTAGGCCCTAACAGGTTCAACCTTCAGGATTAGAGGATGTGTAGGTAGGTGACCTCTGACTCTCTACCTGCTCAGGACATACATGTGGTTCAAATACACAGCTCTACACTGCAGTTAAACCACACAAGTGGCACAGTAATCTTAATCTGTCTTGAAGGGACAGGAAGGCTGCAAGAAATGCTGCCCTGGCACTTGTTACTGTGTGTAGGAGTGAATCCAGTGGTGTGCCACCAAGATGGTGGGGCTGGAGAACTGACCCTGCAGCTGAAGGCTGTGAGAGCTGGGCTTGTTCAGCCTGGAGAAAGGACGGCTGCAGGGGCAGCGAGCAGCAGCCCACTGGCACCCGTAAGAGGGGTGCAAGGAGATGCAGCTGGGCTTCTTAACATTGCACGTGGGTGGAAGACAGGAGAAAATGAGTAAAAGCTCAAACAGGAGAGGTTGGAGCTACAAGGTATGCAGCTTGTAGAGTCAGGACAATTGGCCATCACTGGTCTACTGCAAGGATGCAGAAATATATGTGCTCTCCATGTTCCAAAGCAGTAACTCTGAGGCTATTATTTTAGAAAGCATAGGTGTTCTTGTAAGAAACATGGACCAACTTAAAATTGTATCCCATGCGCCACATGTAATTTTTCTGAGGTAATAACCAGTACAAAATTATTCACAGCTCACTAAGCCACCTCTTTTGACCTTCATGTGGGATTTTATTTTTTGCAACCTAGACATACAAATATAGATATTTTGCAACCTAGAAATTTCAATTCAACAAAGTTTAAATTACTTTGGTGAAGACTTAGAGTAAGATGCAGAATCATTCTAAGCTAATGAAGCTCAAGTTCACAAAAATGGGATAAGAGTACTGTGACAAATCTGTTACATGATCAACAACTAGGACTAGGAACAGCACTACAGCATTTCTAACTGTTAATTTCTATAAAATACAGTATTTTTTCTCAATGGTTTTGAAATCTTGGTCATCAAATCTATTAGATGTCACACAAAGATTCCAGAGGTTTATTTTGCAAAAAAATAGTAAAAAGACACTGCTTCTTTTGTGTGGCTATATCTTTGAAAAAAAGTGTGAATGAAAAAAAAAAGTGTGAATTTGTATACAGATGCATAGGACCTTTCACAGGACAAATAAAATCAAAACAACAAAGGCATTTGGTAAGAGGCACTAACAAAAATGATAGCAGAGAGAATAAAGAAATATAGCCTCTATATAGCCTAAACATGTTTATGCTAAATACATTTTTGTCTTTGCAGTGTTTTAAACTGTGCAGCAGTGTGTTGAGAAGTATACTGGTAAGCAAATGAAATACTGTGACATAATGCTAGAGCATGATGGAGGGATTTAGCAGTGACTATCTCAAACCTTCCTTCTCATCCTTTATAATAAGTTTACCAGTAGCGTAAGCAAAATTAAAACAACTTCTTTTGGTATATGCGCTTTGACCTCTATAAATTTAAGAGGCTAGTACTGTTATTCTGAAAAACAAAACAACGAAGTAGTTTAAACAAAGTCAAACCACATAAACATGCACTGTGTTTCTCTTCAAACATCATACAAAAGTGCATATCAACCCTCAAAAGGATCTCTCTTCTTTGCCCTCAACTTGCTCATTTTACACAGAAAGCACCACATGGCCAGATTCTTCTTGAACATTCATTTTCCTTACATCTCATTTCCTTCCTCTATCCTCCATTTTCCTTGACTGCTCCTTGCAAAGCTGTGAAACAATCTTCTGCTTTTAGTAATTTATCTGCCTTCCCTCACTAAAAGTCAAGCCCTTACAACATCAAAAACTTTACCGTGGCAATCAATTCTTATGGCACAAGTTAAGACAGCACCGTAAAGAAAAGATCCATTTCTCATACAGCTCATTACATTTACTAAGAACAAGAAAAAAATAATCAGAATGCACAAGACATAACATACTCTAAAAATTCTTGTCCATTTTTTTTTTCCTGATACAGAGGTTAATTTAAAAAACAAAGCTCCAGACAGCAGCTCTTCAGCCAAGATTGTTCTTTAGAGCACTAAACTAAAGCTCTGCTTCAAAGCTCTGCCTCTCCCTGTCCTATTTATACTGGCAAGCCTCCTGCTGAAGAGCTTGTTAAGAAACGAAGCAGTTCTGCAGCCCTATTTAGTAATAGCAAGGTCGCACACAGACTGAGGTATCGTGACCACTTTCTGGGTGTTGCTTTTCAGGAAAGACTGGAATTAGCTTGAAATCAGTCCCCCTAGACTGAGTGTCCAGGGAAGAAGAGAGAGAAGAACCATCAGTGAGAAAGCAGATGGACACAGCCACCCCAGTCATTCGCTTGCCCATTCTGTAACTCCTGGAAGCTCACAAGCTGGGTGGCTGGATGCAACCTCTGAAGCATCTTTTTATAGGGGATAAATTGTTCTGGAATTCTGCTCAGAGTTGGGCTTACATGTACCAAATTCCCTGCTGTAAGGCTAGTGTACCATTCAACTTGAAAGCTTTTCATTTCAAGGAAACGGTGCTAAAGAGTCTGCTAGAGAACCCAGCTAGAACATTGCTGCCTATCCACGCTTCAGTGACATTTTCACATCATATTTTCCCCCACACAGCTCCCTGTTGAAACAGGGCTTGCTTGTTTGTTATTTTATATAATGCCAACATCTTATGCTTTTTTTTTTTCCTTTTTTTGTTTGGTCTTTCTATCATGTCTATAGAGTCTTATTAACCAGCATCCTCTCCCTTTACTCCCAGAACATTAACCAAAGCCACTCATCTGTCAGTTTAAGTGTATCACAAATTAGGAAGACCAATCAATACCCACATTTCCAAATAAGTAACTAAAGGAGCAATAGCTACTCATCTCTCAAGAATGAAAGATAAGTCAATTTTAGCTTCGTAAAACCAACATAAATATCATTTGCTCTCTTAAAATTGTCATCTGCTAATGACTTACAAAAACAAGCCAAGCGTGCTTGACTGACACATAAAAACTAAGTACGCATTTTATATTCTCTCTGGAAGCACTTGAGAAAATGCTTCCAGTGTAAGGTTAAGATGCCAAAAGGATTATATTTACCTTAATGATGTACTGTAAGAAAATATGCAGCAAAACAACTCTCTTTGTGTGTGGCTATTCTGTTTCCCAGGACTCTACTGAGTCACTAAGCAATTCCCATTAATATTACCCTCTGTGCTTAAAGTAATTTATTTATTCCCAAACCCACGCTAAATATTTATATTTGCTGAAGACACCACCATAGATTAAATCCATTCTTTACCAATGTTTAGCTAAGAGATGAACTAGTCCAGGCCTGTGCATTAGTATTTGCATAACTTTAGCACAATATTGAGTTCATTGCAGAAGTCTCTCCTCTTCTGGAGGCCTGTGGTACATCATCAAGCTTTCAGTAAGTGTGCGTGTGCTTGTTCTAAGTTGCTACGGAAATCCAGAAGAACTAGTTCTGATTTCAATATATTACTTACTCTACTGAGCACTGCTTCATAAAACCTTCTAAAAGCATAGCTGAAAGAATGAACGTGACAGACAGGGAATGACAAGAATCCATCATTTCAAAGTAATGACTGGTTCTAACGGATGTAACTTGACCACTACCTTGTGAGGAATGCTGCTGTTTGAGAGTCTTGGTCTACTTGCTGCGAGATGCTCCGGGCGCGAGGTGCAGTTCTGCTCCCAGTCCCACTCGCACGGAGACGGCAAAGCCACACTGTGCTCCCTGAAAAACAAAGCCTCATTTTAGTTTTGTGTAATCACAAAAGAACAGACTGAAAGCCTGTGACGCTAAAGTCCTTGAGATAAAGAGGATATATTTCCCCAGTTAGTCTGGCATGCTTGAGCTTCCCTGGCAGTCAGGTTGAAGCAGTGCTCGAATAAAGGAGACGTCCATCCATTTTACACTTGCAGCAACACTATGCAGTTCAAGTCTAGCACTGTTCCCCATCAGGCGCCCACACAGGCCTGCATACGAGGAAAAAATGCATTCTTGCAAGCTAAATAAGGTACAGACAGGAAGCATGCTTATTTTCCATGTTGCACTTGTCTTCTCCTTAAGGCATTTGGGCCTTTTGTTTTGATTTATTCTTTAGCCCGATAGCTTTGTTCACACAAGATTGTACAGAGCTAAAGTAATAACAGCACTCTAAGTATAACCTAGCTAAAAACCGATGCATATGCTCAAGTTATTTCAGTTGGTAATTTTACAGCTCCACTTGCCAATTACAATCTCATTGTCTACCCCTTCCCCTCTCAGGGCTGCTTAACAGGCCTCCGTTACCCCTCTGCTGCGCAAGCTGTGTGTCAGCTTCCACTCAGCATTCCTGTCAGAGGGCTCCACCTCTCCCCACCCCTCCTCACAGCCCTTCATTATCCTGTGTAGGAGAACTGAAAAATGACTGGTTTAACTACAGTGAAGGGCAGACTTTTGACAGGAATAGAAACAGAAGCCAGCGGTTAAAAATTTCTTCTTCCCAGCACATCTTGATTGTCTTAATTCTTCTCAAAGAGCATCCTTCCAAAGTGTCCCACCTTCAAAATATAGCCAGAGTTCCTTAGAAGCATATTATATTTAAAAAAAAAAGTGATATTATTTTTTTTTTCGATTAATAATCCATAGCTACTTCTGTATAGAAGGAAAGCCATAAGAAAAATAATGAAGGAATTTTGCAGAACTACAGTCTACACCGTGTTTTATTGAGGTGTCTTCTGTGCAGCACCCACTTTTCCCTGAGTACAACCATAATGAGGTCCCAGATTCAAAAAAGCACACTTCAAGCATCTAACATTTTTAAACGCTACATTTGGTCTCATTAACTTCTTTAAAACCTCACAAATGCAAACACTTGCCAGATGTCACACTGTCCAGCTAAAATGTCATTTTCCATCTCTGCTGACTCCTCCAGCACAAAAGCACCTTTCTCAAACTAATATGCTCCTCTTTTAAATCAAGGTAGGATTTCTGAAGTCACAGAAAAAAAGAATGCTTATTATTAATTTCTATGATCACCAAAAAGCAACCAGAGCTACACATTATGAACAAACATCAGCTTCATTGTTTCAGTCTTCATCACTCCAGGCTGTATGCTGAATAAATAGTCTTTTGGAAGCAGTAGGAAAGTTACACAAGGAAGCTAAAACTATACTACCATTAATGTTATAATTTGCATCTCTCCGTGAAGATACCAAAGCTTTATAAAAATCCATCTGCCACAGAAATCACATTGCCATTCCAAGCAAAAAAAAAAAATGGAAATAGGAAAAGATACTTTATAATGCCTTTGACACGGAAATGTAAATGAATACCTTAGCAAAATAATGTATTTCCTTTTCACAACTTTCAAGTGATAGCAATGGAGCTGGCGTCACATTCTAATGCTAATTTTTATCTTAGGAATAGTTTAGAGCAGTGAACGAAAAATTAAGTTATGAATGCACCTGAATTTGTGCAGTAAGAAGTCAGACGAGGATCTCTACGCCCTACATTTAGTATTAGCTTTTGGAAACTGTCTCATGATGTTAATTAATATATGTACAATATAATTATATATTATTATTAGAAACATACATATGCTTTTAAAATGCTTATTTTGATTTTTATATGAACTTGAGAGTACATCTAGAAACTGAATGAGAAGCAGATGTTAAAGTGAATTATCAATTTCCTTATTCCAGTTGCATAGAACAAGCAGTCTGAAGCTACAAAAAGATCAGTGTTTTTTTTCTTGAACTTAGTTCACTTCGCAGCAATAATTTGTCACCAGTCTTTAGTTCCCTGAAAGATTTAATGAAAACATAAAAGGGATCCCGATTACAGTCCAATGACAACAGCTTTTCTGCTTTTGTGAAACAGTTGGAATAGCAAATCCAAATGTAATCCAGATACATCTTAAACAGCTTGGAATTCCAGGCATATATAACAATTGTATCAACTAAACCTCTCTGTGAAAGGAGGAGATGCCTGATTAAGGACGCTGGAAAGAAAAACAAAGATTAACAGGCTAGTGTCTTTTGCACTTCGATACTGACGCTCAGAAGCAGATGAAAGAGAAGCAACCCCATATTTGAGTTACAAAACAAAAAATAATGGGTGCTAAAGTTAGCTAGTTTCATTTTTGGACAGCTTTTTTCAGGCTGCGACTCCGGCCAAACAAGCCCACTTGAAAACAAAGAGGAATTTTGCAAGAATGTACCGCTACCTTCCAACACAATTCCTCACAGTATCGAGAGCAATCATGTAAACCTTTTGTCAACATGTAAAGAGAGGCCGAAAAATTCTAAGAGATTGGCATGCAGATAACTTACATGAAACAATCAAAGGAAGTCACAGACTAGGACACTCCGCTGTCCGTGTCCAAATACACTGTACTAAGAATCCCTTTTACCAGGCAGATTTTAAAAAAGAAGAAAAAAATAAAAGCTCAACTACTCATTAATACAATACCAAAACCCTAGGACAAACTTGCAGAATTCCTGTGTTGGTTAAGAGCCTGGAAACAGTTGGCACCAGTGTATTTTCTGGACTACTTTTTTGTGGGTTTGGAGATACAACTGAAAAGTCATATTGTGCTCTGTGCTTGATTTGCTTTTACTGCTGCTGTCACTGTTAGAGGAAGTACTCTTTTGGAAAAACTGCAGGAGAATTCTGAGTTCAGTTACAGACAAATAATTACATTTTTACTTCAAACTTGTCTTTGAAGTCCTGCTTACACAGAACTATCCCAAAACGGTAGAAACTTATCTAATAATTGGTCTTGAACAAGAGCCTATGCCTGCACTATGCCTGAAACAAGGAGACAGCCTTCTAATGCAAAACAAGAATACGAGAGACTAGAAGGGCTGGGATGATGCCCATCCATCAGCGCTACTTATACAGGGACAGGTAGGAGAGAGATATAATCAACCCCCTTTTCATGCTGAGGTTTTGAGGGAAACAGTGATGAACAAGATAAGTCTAATAACCAAGTTGTGTTGTACAAGAAAGCATTTTGTACTGTTTTGAAAAAACAGAATGGTCTGTATTTCAGAGTTGGAATATTTAATACCCTTAACTGATATATTTTTAATAATTAACGCTTCCCCCTCAGAAAACTGAATTCTTAAGTATGAGCAACTCTTGTTTCCTAGAAGAGAAGGGAAGTTGCACACATGCAGAAAAATGTTCTTCCCCACTTTTACAAGCTGTTAGTTCTCCCATAGGTAAGAGTAAAATACTTCTTTTTTTAAGCAGACGGACGTCCACACAGTGGGCTTAGCAGTGCCCAGCAAACATGAAACAACTATTTTGATTTCTTTCTGATGAGTATACAGCTGTTTATCTTTTCTGTTCTCAAGCAAATTCCTGATTTAGGAATAACGTCTTCTCCCGATTATTCTGCCAGCCAAGGACAAAAGGTACACAGAAATCTCAAGCAAAACCACAAAGTTTAACTACAACTGCAGAAGACAGATTGCTTGGAAGCTACAAAAAAAAGATTACCTGTTCAATGAACGATACACCTCTTTTCTGATGAAAAGTTTTCGTAACTGCAAGGCAAGCACAGATTTTCCCATTATTATTCCCTGATAGTATTTTAACACTTACCCTGGATGCTGCCACAGGTTTGCATGTCTACCCTCAGGAAGCAGCTCCCTCTTGTTAAGGGGAGTAATTCCTATTGCTGCTTCTAAAATAGTTATATATTTCTTGTACCGCATCCTGCCTCTCTGAGGAGTTTCACCACGCCAAGTTACCATCCAAACGCAGTTTCTGCAACTGAAGTCATGCCTCTTCACTTATCCGAACTGCTGTTTTTCAAAACACGCTGCGAGTTTCAAGCACGTAAATAATGCTTTTTACCCCCTCTCCCCGGCTTGGAGAGTTAGCAGGAGAGAAAAACCAAAGAAAAACTCCCACCAGATTCCCCTGAAACGTCATTGTTACATAATTCGATCTTTGAATAAGACACTAATGAAAATGATTGAAGAGACAATCACGGTTCTAAGCCTGGCCGGATAATGCACACTCTTCAATTGACTAATCCTTTGCTAAATCTCTGCTGCCTATAATCTTCCAAGTACTAATGGAGCCCTAGGTAACTTCTCTGTCAAATCAATCCAGGGAATGAGAGAGATCTGCACAGAGAACTTGGGAATTTTTTTTAGGCATGGGAAGACAAAAACAGATTTTTCTTCAAACTTTCTCCTCATCACCAGAACACGCTGGAAGTGATATACAGTCAGAAAAGGCATGGATAAACTTTCCCTTTCTTGACTTGTTGCAGAATTAAGAAAGCTAAAGACTCCATTACAATACCTACTAGCCGTTCAGATGTGTCTCACACAATGCCTGTCTCCACTTTCTACATCAAAACTGTTTAGCCACGAGGAAGGTAGCCTCAGGTACTAACTACAAAGGCAGATGTGGATGTAGAAGTTGCAGTAACATTGATGTTTTGGAAGTGCTGCAGTACCATCAAATGACAGTATTAAGGAGAATTTGTGGATTGCAAGAAGATGAGCTAAGGAACTATTCTGATGTTATTCAGACAGTAAGAGAGTAAATACGTTTTGCATATAATTTTAACGTATTAACTATATTACTACAAAGGTGCATAACTGTTATACAGAAATGTTAAAAGAATAGATGGGACAGGAAGTATTTCTTCTAAAGCCTTCAGCTACAACTCCCTCTGTACATTAAGTTATTCTCTATTCTGTTATTCCTTCAAGGGTCTGTCTTGGGACCAGAGCTGTTTAATATCTTTATCAGTGACAGAAACGATTGAGTTTCAGCAAGTTTGCAGCTGACACCAAACTGAGCGGACCAGTTGACACAACATAAGGAGGGGATGCCATCCAAAGGGACCTGGACAGGCTGGGGAAGTGGGCCCATGTGAACTACATGAGATTCAACAAGTCCAAGAGCAACGTGCTGCCCCTGGCTCAGGGCAATCCCAGACATGAGCACAGACTGGAAGAAGAACTCACTGAGAGCAGCCCAGCAGAGAGGGGCCTGGGGTTCTCATGGACAAAAAGCTCGACATAAGCCAGCAGTGCGTGCTTGCAGCCCAGAAGTCCTGGGCTGCATCAGCAGAGGGGTGGGCAGCAGGTGGAGGGAGGTGATTGTGCCCCTCTGCTCTGCCTTTGTGAGGCCCCACCTGGAGTGCTGCGTCCTGGTCTGGGGTCCCAGCACAAGAAGGATGTGGGGTTGTTAGAGCAGGTCCAGAGGAGGGCCACGAAGTTGATCAGAGGGCTGGAGCACCTCTCCTGTGAAGAAAGGCTGAGAGAGCTGGGGATGTTCAGCCTGGAGAAGGAAGCCACGTTCAGCCTGGCTTTAGGGAGACCTCACTGAGGCCTTTCAGTACTCAAAGGGGTCTTAAAAGAAAAGGATGTAGAGGAACTCTTCACTGAGATAATGATACGACAAAGGGAAATGGTCTTAAACTGAAAGAGGATAGATTTAGATTAGAGAAGGAAATTCCTCACTGTAAGGATAATGAGGCAGTGGCACAGGTTGCCCAGAGAATCAGAACCACTACGGCTGGAAAAGGCCTTCCTGTTCATCTGGTCCAACCATCCCCCTACCACCAGTATCATCCACTAAGCCACATCCCTAAGCACCATGTCCAACTTCTCCTTAAACACCCCCAAGGATGGTGACACCGCCATGTCCCTAGGCAACTTGTTCCAATGCCTAACTACTCCTTTTGAGAAGAAGTTTCTCCTAATTTCCAACCTAACCCTCCCCTGGCACAACTTGAGCCCAATCCCTTTAGTCCTATCAGCCTTCGATAAGAGGCTGACGCCCAGAGAAGCTGTGTATGCCCCACCCCTGGAGGTGTTCAAGGCCAGGCCGGATGGGGCCCTGGCCAGCCTGATTTACTGGGTGTCCCCCCTGTCTAACTCCAACACCCCACCATAGACAATCTTTAAGGTCCCTTCCAACCCAAGCCATTCTATAATTCTATGCTCTCAAATGAATACTAATAGGCTGTCTGTGAGACTGATCTCAGAAGAGCAAAACAAAATTAAGCCTTTTTCAGATTCAGGGAGTACAACCACAAATGACTGAGAGAAGGTAACATTCAGTTTCCACCTACCTACTTGCATGCTGACTTGTATGGAGTCTGAAAACTTGTGATGTATTAAGCAAAATAATTAACATATTAAGCACACAGAAATGAAATTAAGAAAACAATTACTTTTGCAGGTCCCAAAAAAGCACTTAACTACAACTTCAAACGTCTGTATACAAAGTATTAAGAAGCTTAAGAAAGTGAAGTACTACTGGAAGTCTCTAAGGACAGTTAATATCATTAAACTTGCATGCATCCTGGCTTTTGACAGCTTTGTCAGATCTGTTGTGAAAGCAGTATTGACTAGGAAGGGAAAAGGCAAGGAGACAGCAATTCCATCTTTTCAAGAACCTTCTAACTGCAGCAATCTATGCCAATATCCGATTTTTACTAGAACACAAAAACAGTTTGATAAAATCCAACCTTCCTTCAAAGTCAGTTTTGTCATCAACATCAGTATTACAGCGATTTCTCCTCTGAAGTGCTGCTTCTTCTTTCTGTCCTCCTCAGAACTTTTTTGACCCATTTTTTTCCCCTTATAGATCTAAGGAACAGATCTCCCTTATAAAAACTTCCTGGAAGTGTTTTTTAAAGCCAGAGCAGTAAGCAAAGTTTAGAAACCATCCAGTGCACCTTTGGATCATTCTTTGACTCCCTGGGGAACTAAATCTGACTAGGCCTCATGGTTAGCCTTATGCAAACCTCACAACCAAACTCATACAAGAAGCACAAGCTTCTTCCAAGTAAAGTATCATGAAATCTTCAGATACCTAGAGGGAGCAAAGACTGACTCACCATTTATCAACTTCCTTCAACTTTGTTTGAAAATAGAAATTAAAAGCTACTAGTACACCCATTGTTATTGAAGGACTACATTTGCAGAGAAAACAAAAGCTTTTAAATATACCTTCATCCATTGTTTCCTGTTGAGGAGTTATCATCCACTCCCCTTCTTCTGGTTTTGTATTTTTTTTCAGGAAAAAACAAGTTTTATTGAAAGAACATAGCACATTCTTCCTAACTGGGAACGTACAAGTGAACAAACTTAATCTAAGAATTAAGATGCTAAAGTATGTGTCAATTTCAAGAACTCATGGTCCTCAGCCATATCCACACAGATAACAGCAAACCGCCTCAGAGTTCAGCAAAAAAGATTATTTGCTTACTCAGTGTATTTGTACTCTGCCAACTTTCTCCCCATGGATTCCACATTAATTACTTACTCATCAGTTTATAAAATAAAGAGAATCCAGTAACATGCACTTCCAGCAAATTAATATAGTGATATATAGTGCCAGAGTGTACTGTTGCACTATATCAAGGCTTGGAACCCATCACTGTCTTACAAAGCTATGCTGCTATAGGGAATAAGGATGCACGCAAACTTTAAGCTTTTCCTATGCCTGTTTCGAAGTCTCCTACTCTTTTTCTGTGCTTCCTTTGCTGCAGCAGAAAAAATAAGTGTGCTGGGGCAGTGATTTCCACCCTGGTGAACTTCTGTAGAGGACTTTTGCAAATGCAGTATAGAGTATTTTCATTGTATTGTGTTTTCATTCATGTTACAACTGAGTCTAGAATTTTTGCAGTGGATGGTTTGGAAAGTAAGACATTTCAGGGAAAGAAAGGTGAAAGCTCTTTTCTTCGCTGAAAAAACACTTAAGGCATCAAAGCAAAGGCATCATTTTACTCTAATCCACAATGGATGAACATAAGTCATGTTCTCTTAATTAGATGTAGTGCATATTTCTTGTAAAACTGATGACAGAAGCATGATCATATCCTCAGTCACTTCAGACCCAACTCCAAAGGAGACAACAGTTGCCCACTGAAGCCAAAAATTCTTTTTTTCCTCATCCCTCAACAAAACATCTCTTCAACACCTACAGACCAAAGAATTCTGTCATGAAGAGAGCAAAAAACCAAAGGTCTTCTCCTACACGCTTATTATTGAGTGACAAGAATAACAACAACAGACAATAAACTTCCAGAGCAAGTGTTTTGTTTGGGTTATACAGCTACAAAACAGCAAGGGAAACAAGTCAATGCATATGTAAAGCCTAGTCTGTTGAAACAAAGGAACATTAAGGTTCAGAGTTTGTATTTCTTTTTGGGAAGGGGGTCATAGGGGAAACTGTTTCATGGAAAGAGAAGGGAAGGACTTGGAAACTTCTTTCACACAGCTTCAGTGGCTGCAACTGCTGTTGGCCCCTCCCTGGAGAGCATCCCTTGCCCGAACAGCCCATATGTTCCTGGAGATTCTCAGAATCAGCTTATACAAAGTTGTGCTAAGGAGGCTAGAGACACCAGCAGTCAAATCTGCCAGCTATTAAGCAGAGCTAGATGATGAATCAGATGTTAGAACAGAGAGAGCATGCTGGACTACAGACAGCCGTGCTGTCAGTGACGTACGGGAGAGATTTATCAGTTTTCTCTAATGATCTCTCTCTCAAAAAAAAAAAAAAAAAAAAAAAAGAAGTACTAGCAGGGCGAAACAAACCGCAAATAGGTTGAACAAACACATAAAACCTTGGTTTACATGAAGCCAAGCAAGATAAACTGAGCTCAGGCTCAGTTTATCAATACAAGGGGGGCTGATGTTAAAGAATTCGTTTGGCATGAGAGCATAATGACAGCAAAAAGCTTCTGGGAGAAGTATTACTGAGCCAGTCTTAGGAAGAATACAGAATATCTGATCAGAGTATCAGATCTCATGCCTGGCTTAAAAGAAACATAGCCAAACCTGAACAGACATCCGAAATCTGAAATTTCACATGCATACAGACCATGCCTGAGATAACATGCATGCCTTGAAGAAATAAAATGAAATTTCTCAAAAGCAGTTCTGGATTGCTAGTCCAAAAGAGGTGCAGACAACACTATGGAAGGAGAGCAGGCACTAGGAAAAAAAAGAATCTGAACAGAAAGGGATTCGCAGACAGGCTTACTTTATATTTTCCCTTACATGCCTCTTACTGACCCTAATATCACATCACAGAGCATTTTTGTCTTATGATGTTATACATGTGAAAATACAGCACTAATGAGTTTCATTCTTTCCACAGCTTCAGATCAGGAACTGTGGTTATCTCTGAGGTTCCAACACTCAGATACACAATGACAACCTGACCTAATTTCAGGAAGCCTTGGGTAGCTCATGTTTCCTAAAAACAAAGCATGCAGCTCATGAATATACAGCAGGGTAGATGCCACACAAGATATCAGGCCTGAGCTTCCACAGCTCTGTGATTTTTAAGATCATAAACATTTTAAGTATGCTCGCAGCTGCAGGAGTCATGTAATGCTGGACAGAAAGGAGAAGCCACACTATGTTCTTATTTGAAACAGAAAACTAAACTATTACCTAACATCATGCACTTTCAAAAAGCAATTATCTAACTCAAAATAAACAAACACACACTAAAAAACAACTCTAACATTAATAGTTTAAGTTGTAAAGTGACCTGTAGTGGTCTTCAGCAAGTTATAAATGACAATTTACGTATTCACCAATAAAAAATAATTTACTTCCGAAGTGTGACCTAGCTGTAAGCATATCCTCAGTACTGGTGAAATATACCAACCATTAGAGGAGGAAAAGAAGCTATGGAGAACCTGCGGATGGAGAGCAGACGTACCTGAGAAGGGAACTGGCACAAGAGCCTAATACAATGCTGCTCTTTCTGAGGAGAAGGGTAGGTTCAGAGAGTTGAAAAAGCAGACGGTGGTTGAACAGTTCTGTTACGGCAAAAGCATCAGGGAGAGAAGCCTGGGCAGAAATGATAAACTTCAGTACTTCCCTAAGGACTGACAAACAATTCAGAGTACGTGCTCATGCGACTGAAACCAAACCTTTAACTGTGAATGACGACATGCACCGGTGCACTGCGTCAGCGTGGCCCTGCAAAACCAGCAACACCCACTCGGCTGCTGCTGTCTTTATGGGAAACTCCCCACTTCCAGGCGTTCTCCACTACGGCAAGATCCACAGTAGAAGACAGACTTAAAAATTATGCCCTATAGTCTCACTGTTGTAAACGTTTGTTTGTTTTACAAATCGATTGTCTCGTTTTCAAGAAACCATTCACAGAAACTCACTGCAACACAGGATTATGATTCACAGGCTTTAAGCTGCTGATCTTATCCAAGATCAGCTACCAGATTAAATACATAGTTATTTTTTTCCCAGGAATTAGTGTTTTCACACCTGCTTGAAAATAAGCCAGACCGGAAAATCTCTAACTTCAAACTGTACCTCCTATACCATGTCAGTGCTTTCTTTTCCCCTTTGTTGGAACAACTAGTTCCAGGACTGCTACAAAAGCATGAAATCAACACAGCCAAAGCCTGATAAAAGCTACACTGTCCTTGAGACTGTAAATGCTGTTATTTCAGCAATTAAATGAGAACAGTCTTGTAACAAGAGCTTCCTTTACTGTACAAGGAAGTTTTGGAGACAGACAACGTTGGTAACCTAACATACACGTGCACACACAAACGCTTACTACTGCCAAAATTTGTACCAATCTGAACGCTGGTTTGAAGTAGTCCTGGAATATTTCGTCATTCCCCACTTGAAGATTACTAAAAATCAGGAACTTTCAGATGTTTTTACGCATCTGGATTTTGTAAAGGTGCATCTCAGCTTGTGAGATGTGCCAATGCCTGTATGTTACTTTAACTACTAAGAAAGAATTCCTGGTTGTCCTTACAAGACACCAAACCAGGAAAGGGGGGAGAGGGGAGGTCAAGCAATCAAAAAGTATCAGAAACTTAATTACTTCAATGCTTCATTCTGAAGACTTCATTCTGAAGAGCTCTACTGAGATTATAGTTCATGAAAAGCATCAGGATCACTCTAACCCCCCCGCTTACTTCCAAATACTTGTCCCCAGTCTCACAAAAGCCCTGCACAGGGGCACTGAGCGCAGCAGCAGTTGGTGGTGGTGTAATTTGGGGCAATGCAGAACGCAGCTGAATCTGGATGCAGCTTCTCCAATGCCCTGTGACCACCTCTGAAGAAGGGGAGTCCCTGCCGCTTACTTGAATGCTACGCGCAGGGCATAGCAAGGTGTTTGCATATAACAGTCTGTAAGCAATTATAACTGTAAACTTACCTAAAAGTCAAGTACATGCAGAAAGCTTCCTCAGAAGCCTGATGAAAGCCCTCCTAAGCACTAGTTTACACTAAGTGCAATCACACTAACTGTCTCTAAATGGCACACACATGCTTGCACCACACGCAGCAGCTCTCTAACTCTTCTCCAGAGCCCTGATGTCGCCTCGGCTGATATAAATGCTCACACACAAGCTTCCTGTGCTTCCTAATACCTGATCCCGTGGATGCTGACAGGCGGTGTTGCTGGAACAGCTCGCACACGAAGCCTTGGACTACCAACACTTCAGGAAAACAAAAAAAGTGGCAACTTTATCGGTCACTGCATGCGTGGTTGTTGCTTTTTTTTTTTTTTTTGCCTTCCTCTCCCTCTGAATCACAGCTGAATCACGGCACTGACCGTGAACAACTGCCTCGAAAAACACATTTAGAAGAGAGGCCAACTCGCCTCAATCCGCCCCGGTCCCACCCCGGTAAGCGAGGCTCGGACCCGAGCAGCCCTCGGGTGGCCTCTGCTGGAGCACGGCCGGACCCGGCACGCGGCTGCCCGACACGGGGCGAGCCAGGAAGTTTTCCGAAACCCGACCCGAGGCAGCCCCCCCGCTGCCGAACAAACCCCCCGGGGCGAGCTGGGGGCGAGCTGGGGGGGAACCGGGGGGGGAGCCTGGGGGGAGCCTGGGGGGAGCCTGGGGGGAGCCGCCCCGCGGCGGGCAGCGGGCACGGTGCCGGCAGCCGCGGTCCGGCCCCTTTGTCCCGCAGCTCCTCGCCCTCCCGGCGGCCCGGCAGCGCGCACCTGCCCGCCGGGGCTACTCGCCTGCTCGCGGAGGTCGCCCCGGTGCAGCGGCAGAGGGCGGGCAGCCGCTGGCCTCACGCCTCCTCCCGTCCCGTCCTGTCCCGTCCCGTCCCGTCGCGGTGCCGGTGCCGTGCCCCGCCGAGGAGCGCGGGTCCCGCTGCGCTGCGCTGCCGCCCCGCCGGGCGATTTCCTGCCGGGGCTCGGGGCGGGCTCCGCGGCTCCCACCCCGCCGCAGGTGCCGGCCTCGCCCCCAGGTGGGGCGGAGGAGCCGGGCCGGGCCGTGCCTGTGCACGGGGAGGGGACGGAGAAGGAGGGGGGGGGGTGCGAAGCGCGGCCCCACCTGCAGCCGCCGCCCCTTCCCTTCCCTTCCCTTCTCTTCTCTTCCCTTCCCTTCTCTTCCCTCCCCGCCCCGCGCCTGGCGGGGCTGCGGTGCCGCTGCCGGCCCGGCGGCGAACAGGAAATACCGGCCCCGGCTCCGCTCCGCGCCGCTGAGTCACGGCGGGGCCGCCCCGGCCCCCCCCGGCCCCCCCCGGCCCCGCAGCTCCCCCGGCCCCGCAGGACGCCGTGAGGAGGCGCCGTGAGGAGGCCGGGCCGCCACGCGTGGCTCGGGGCGCGCTGCTCGCCCTTTGTCCCCGGGGAGCCCCGGCGCTGTCCTGCAGCGGGGAGGAGGAAGGCGAGCCGCAGCAGCCCCGGCTGGATGCCTGGGAGTCGTGTTTCTGCGCCATTGTGCAGCGCGAATGCCACACTGAGTGCTTTATCTGCCCGCACAGCCCCTCTGAAGTCAGGCCGTGTTCCCCCCCAGGCTCAGATCTGAGGAGCAAAACCTGCTCCCGGCTCCTCTGGCTGCCCTTTCTCAAGGGCAGATGGCGTTTCTAGGTGCTCAATATCCCAGATTCCCAAAGCATTCTCAGTTCTGACCTAGTTTCCTCCTCGTAAAGCAGGTGAGCAGCATGCTTGTGCAGCATGCCTCATACAGAAACCGAGATAAAGAAGGCAAATAGTGCTCTTCGTGAAGGCGCTGGACTTTGGAAGCAGGCCCTGTGAGCAGAAAGAGCTCAGTTTAGTGACAGCAAACACCAGGCAGTGTTCAAATGTTGTTTCGAAGAGTCCTGCTCGTAGCTACAGTTAATAATTAACATGCATGTGCATGCTGTTGTCTTCAACTGTTTCAGTCTAAATGCCCTAAACAGGAAAAAGAAAAAAAAAAAAAAAGGGACTTCAGTAACTTGATGTTTTCTGTCAGCTACAGAGAGGATCTGGGGTCAGCAAGTAATACAACGTTGTGTTCAAGCAACCCGAATCGAGGTTTAAGGAGTGGAAACTTAGCCTGACATCCAGGTATGTGTCAGATTATTTGTTTTACTCTGTGCTCGGTGTCTACTTCCTTAGTGAATGTTTAAAGACTTCATTTGTTAGTTCTATAAATGTTTTCTCTTTTTGAAGCCACTTTTCTTACAGTGGGTTTATGATACTTAGTTAATGGCTCTGAAATGTTCTGAAGAGGAGTAATATTATTGACGTACTTAATATATTCCTTTTTTTTTCTTTTTTTTTTTTTTGGTAGGACAGTAGAGAACACCGGCAGCTTATACAAGAATATACATCTGTAAAATAACAGCATTTACAAAATACTGGTCATGTAACATAACTACCATGACACAATTTTTAAAAATTCAGCAAGTTGGAGAGGACAGCAACAACACTATATGGCCTGTTTTAAACATGTATTGTTTCCTCATCTAACCTGCGTTTGTCGTTCCTTAAGCTGAACTCCAAAAAAAGGCTTGTAATTAATAACTGTTTGAAAAACTGTAGTTGTGCATAGCTCCGTTTATTCTTCCCCAAGGAAAACAGTCTCCAATGCCTGTCTCCTTTGGCAGAGGTCATGAATCTTGCCTTTGTTTTACGATGGCCAAGAGTACAGTTTACATAAAAGACAATTTGGGATAGAGGGGGACATAACTCTGGACAACTTCTTCTTATCTTTAAACAGGAGTTAAATAAAAAGCCTCAATAGCAACATGGGCCGGAACATCTGCTTGATTGGTTACACTTGTAAGTAGTGGTGTGCAGTGTGAAATTAAAATATCGTCCCCTAAGGTGCCACAACGTGATGCCGCTTGACTCTGGTCTCTTCGCTGCCCTGCCAGCAACATCAGCCAATGTGCACAGTTAATCTCTTCCTGATAGCCTTTTCTTCTGCTCCTCCCATGCTTCCTTTTTTATTTTGAATGTTCTTCCAGGTATTTTGGCAAGCTTCTGCCTTCCTTCCAAGGATTCACTCCTGCAAGACTCCCACACGTTCCAGGACTGGTTAGCACAATCACAGAGTTCAACCATTAACCAGAACCCAAAAGTAATCAAACACTCCCTGCAATTCCCCTACCCTTACTCAGCTATCAGCTCTTTGAGACAGGTCAATAAATCCCATGTACTGAAGCTGCTAAAGGACTTAGGGAATTTTAAGGAAACAAGACAGGCTGATTTTGTCACATGGAACAACCTTGGAAGGAAGAGATACCATTACTTAAGAATTACCACAAGCAGAAAGGAAAATGAACCAAAAAACACTGGACAAGCACTTAGGCACGTAACTCCTGCTGAACACATGTAGCATTTCATGACCGCCACAGATGGGGAGCAGTTGCTGTAAGCTTAGCTGAACTACATGTATCTACCAAGATTTCCAGAGAAATCCTTGGCACACAGAAAACAATTTTAGCAAGGTTAGAAATGCTGGGACTTTGGAGCTGTAGGACAGAAGCAGACAAACACAGTCACTGACTGCAGAAAGGACAATTAGCTATCGGTGAAAATTCAGATGTACCTTAACATGGAACAACACTCCTCACTTTCTCTGAGCATCGAGCAGGGTTTCAGATATCAGTATTTGTCTTTCAAAAGCACTCTGTGCTTTCCTTCACCAAAGACAGAGCAACTGTCTTGTGGGGAAAAAGCCACCAGTAATACACCAATTCTTACGTGGTATTAACCATTCATAGTGAGTATCAGAGGATTCCTTCAGCTATTTTGAGAGGAGTGAAGCAGCAAGCAATTGACACGATGCCTGTCAGGTTTGTAACTGTGGAGCAATCTGCTAATACAAGTTGAGGAAGTGAAAAATAGTACAGAAGCCCTACTTGTCTTGGGGCGATATGCAGTCTGACACCAGGATCAGAACTCCTCCTATGCACAAGCATGGTGACTGACGGAGTCCTCATCCTCACTTAAAATCTCATGCAAGTATTAGAGCACAAATGAATCATGTCTTACAATTCATTTTGTATATGGGGATAAAAAAAAAGCCCTCATTCTAACAAGCTGATGCTATTCATCTTCCCCAGTTGGATTAAATCCAACTGTTACTCAGCTAGCTAAAACCAGGAAATTGTTTGCATAAATAGCAGTAGCATTGTGGATGAAAGGGAAGGCACTTCAAACATGAAGGTTGGAGTGCTCTTAAAAAACCCACCCTGGCTGGCCAAATTCTGAATAGAATCTTTGCAGTAAGTGTTTTAACAAACACAAATAATCCAGCACAATATGCCCATCCGCGATCTTTATCGTCATAGTGGGAAATCAAACTTTACACAATGGATTCTACATGCTCTACGTGCAATTGTATTTTGATGTGAACAACTGTACAAGATGGAAAGGCATAGAGAATGAACCCCAAAATGTGAATCACATGCATGTTTATGAATCAATTACATGCAAATTACATGAAATAATTTTTGGAATAGCCAATAGGAAAAAATAATTACACAAGTTACATATGATCAAGCAAAGAAAGAAGCAAGAGGAAGTATCCTAGATTCTAATACCAGGTAATTAACATCTATCCAGATGTATCTAAGTAACTTTCTTAGTTACTAGGAGACTGATTGGAATACTATTGTTTTCCATGTGCTGTAAATTATTTTTACCGTTCTAAATTCAAAACAGCAAAAAGATGTTCTGGTTTTAGCTTTCATTTGAGGGGGAAAAAAAAAAGAAGCCGCTTTCATTCTTGTATCACTTGCTACTCCTTTTATTTACCTCATCCAGTGGAGTATATACAGGTAATAGTGACCATGTCAAATTTTGATTGAAAACGTGTAACAGTTTGCACAATTAACATGATCACAGTTTTCACACTTAATCACGATCTGGTTCCAAGGGAATGGTATTCTCTAATTAACAGTGGGAAATAGCTAGTAACAACATATATTTTAGTTGTAAGTACAGGACAATGATGCTATCTAGCTATTGTTCTTTTGTAGCGGAATGAATCACACCTGTAATAATTCCAGCTTGTCATGATTCTCTAGCTAAATAATCAGAAGTGTCAGAGGAACCACGAAGAAAATTAATTTGCTCTGAACATCTTTTCACGCAATAAGAAAAATACGTTAACAATATGGTATAAGTTATCTCAAGAATTAGACAACAACTTTGTGCTCCCATTTCATAGGCAATTCAAGAACAATCAGTAGCAATAATACTGATACTCCATACAACAGTGCAAGCGTTAGTGTTCTTGTGGTTCAATGTTTTTAAAGCTTTTTGGTGTAAGATCTGGGGTATAATAATTTATTTCATTATCTCTTTTTTTTTTTAAAAAACATATCTTAAAACCAAAAGGGAAATGTTTCTGCGTGAACATGGTATTAAGGGAAGTCTCACATAATGGTTAAAAAAGATAATCCGAGCCCACTCACCTAAGAAATGCAGTGGTACAATTTTTGCTATCATGAGAGAATCTCCATTTACCTTAACTAAAAAACAGGCAATAAATTACATCTTTTTACTCTGTGGAGAGTAAAAACAGGAAGAGAATTTCACAGTAAGAGAATAAAGTATTTGCAGAAAGATTGCTGCACAGCTTAAACATTACACGCCAGCCTTTTTGAATTCATATGATGCTTACAACCATGCAGACCTGTTGGTAGTTTTAAGTTTAGCTCAGAAAAATATCCCAACGTAAAAGAAATGAGAATTTGGAGAAAAGAGCAAGTTCTGCAATACCGAGAAAAAACTACATCCATCACACAAAACGAAAAGTTTTGCCACAGTCACGTCCTTTATGACACATTCAATTTGACTCCTACGCCTTATTTACCTGCAGTAACATTAAAATCCTATCACTAGCTGCAACTTTTACTGCAAGGCATCAAAGTACCACAGCTTACATCATTGTAATTCAGAGGCATTTCTTGGTTTTGGGCTAATGTCTCAACAAAAAAGTTTGACATTCGTGCGCTTGTCAGAACTCACCCAGCAGGCCAGTCCATGCAAAACTAGAAAGTAAGAATCCACAGCTTCTGCAGTAAGAAAGTAAGAAACGCAGTCACAGGAAGGGAGACCTCAACCATGTGTTCAACCATGGGCATAGATTCAAGCAGTGACACAGAAACCCAAGGGCTGAGCACTTGAGAAAAATGTATTATTTTCATATTGCTGCACAACATGGTGACGTCAAGAAAAACAGTAAGCTCGGGTACTCAGGAAACAGGGGAGGGCTTGTGCTTCAAGTCTTTGAAGTTCCGTGAGGTAGAATATCATCAAGTATCTTCTTTTCCAGAATATATTAAGCAGGACAAATCCAATTTAGTTTTTAATGCTGTTGAAAACTCTTTTGATAGTAGTTCATGAAGAGATACTCTATCGTGAGAATACACCCAATTCCGTCCAGTCCAGTCATAGCGCTTGGGCCCACTAGAAAGCAAAACACATGGTGTAAGTACAGATTGAAATTCATGGGGACCTGTTGGAAGCATGTATTTATATGTAAACCAGAAAGTGCCCAGGACAAGGAAAAAGAGTAGAGAAGGATTTGTGTGGGGAAGCGGAGCAGCAAAGGCCAGACCTTCCTGTGCCATCTAACAGACGCATCTGAAAGGTGACAAGATGTCTCAGATCTGACAAGCAGACACACATTCCCTTCCTTCTTGCTTTTGGCATTCATCTCCCCATTTTCATGCCTTACCCCCCTTCTTCCCTCGCCCACATAATCTTCTTGCACACAACTACTACAAAGCATACTTGTGTGAGGCTGAATCCATGCTTTTGATTCGCTGATACAGCAGAGTTACATGCAGATATTCTAAACGCAGCAGAACACATACCACCAATCTCACTTTCTTTTTGAATGCAATAAAAGAATTTACCATCTAAAAGCACATATATTGCCATGTGGGAGATTTACATGAAAATTCTGTTTTCCTCTGTGCTATCGTATAGTTTTGGGCTCGATTCTTCAGCCTTACATTAAACATCAGGAAATAACTTGAACACTTGGGTTGCATTACAGACCTTTGTATCCACCTAATTCTCCACATCTGAAACAGGAGCAATGACTGAAAGGTGCTCACTACTGTTAACATCAGCTACAGAAGCTAAGAAAAGAGAAAGGAATGAAATGTTCAGCAGGGATAAACAGGGATAAACATCACTCTTATCCTTGAACTTAAACCGATAGGACAAAATGCGTTGGAACTCAGATGACTGCATACAAGGTCTGCCAAGAAGACAGACTACATATACATGAGGACAATCTGCAGATTCTCTACAAACATAAACACTAACCTGAACCTCAAATACCCTGAATTGTTCACCATATTTAAATGACGAACTTTCAGACCACTAACCAAACTATGAGAAGTCACAGATGCAAACAGAAGTAAGAATGACTTCCACTGACGTCTCACTTGCTGTATGTGAACTGGGAACTATTCTCCAATGCTCCAGTCACTTTGCCATGCATTTCTCACTTGTCTTTGCACATCAAGTATATGTTTATACTGCCCTACAGCCAGGGAGCAACAGAATGGGATGCAGCCATTCATGAAAACCAGACTAAGACAAACCATTTAATCAACAAAGGCAAAGAAAAAAAATTGGTCATCTGAACTATTTTTAAATGTTACTTAGGAAGTATCAGTGATAAGGTTGACATATGAAGTACCTCCACAGTTCTCTGACTCTTCAAAATTCTGATTTTTTCATTTACATTTATCATTTAAGGATCTTTTGAGCACTAATAAATGCCTTCAAAGGCTAAGAATTAATTTCTCTCTCAAGGGAAGTCTGCATACATTCTCCATTCACTGCACAAATTTCACTGTACAAATTTCGCAAATATAGTATCAACTGCAAAGTGATCACTAAGAGTAACAATTGCTTATTTTCCCTCCTAGTACACTGCACTTTAGCAGTATGTCACTCCAGATCATACAGTATTTGCAGGAGTTGCAACATGTACTTTCAGAGGTTAGGAAATAAGTGAACGTGTGATCGTATTTCAGGAAACACTACTGTTTACTATATTACCAGTTAAGCAAGCACAAAATGGAATGCTTGTTGGTGAGTCATTTTTCACAACAGATGCCGAAAAACATCATCGGATCATCGGAGAATTTTCAAGTTTCTTGCATATATTTTTATTCACCACTTTAATACATAATCATTCACAAAATTCCCTATTCTGGTGCTTGTGTATCTTTACTCACAGAACTCTCTGAATTTTGGTTTTCAGAAATGGTTGAAAACTTCGTGTGGGACCTAAAAAATCCTACTTTCCTCTTAAGCAGAATTCAGATTCAGGAACTGTTTGTTGCAAAATATATGAAATGAATGAATGACACACAGCCTGCATTTGTCTGAATTACAAGCTTACTAGGCCAGTGCCTTAAAAAGTCACATACCTGTTAAATAAATTATTTTTAATAAAAAACGATTCTGGGACTGGGGAGGAGGCTAGTAGTAGAGAAAAATGACTAATAAAATGTGCACCAATCAGTACTTAATTACCCTAAAGTGAAGTTAAAATTTTATTTAGGTAATTTTTTATCTATTAAAATTGATCCTCTTGAAATCTTAAATTCCCTTGAGCTTCTCTTTTTTTTTTTTTTTTTTTTTTTCCTTTTTTTTTGTTTCCATGCAAACCCTAATATGACATTCTATTACTGCGAAACCATTCCCGGTTTTGCAATTACTACATTCTTTATGAGCAGCCATCAAGAAGTATGCCTACGTAATTACTGGGTGTGCTCATATTTTCCAGCTAGCTGGTTCCTTCACCAGTAACAGTGACTTGACTCCCTCAGTTCTCTCCTTGGGACAGTGACAGGGGACACATTTTTTCGAAGGGGGAATCAGCCTCAATATTTCCCTTATTATCTGGCTGCCCCTACAGGTGAAACCAACCAGAAAGCCTACAATGGATCAAAACACAGCATTAGAGAAGGCAGAGGGCACACCTAGCCAAGGCTTCCATGAAGTGCAGGAGCTTGACAAAAACAACTAGTGGGTGAGCACATAAACATATAAAGCAGGAAATCCCACAAGCTTGAAGGGGAAGGAGCCACCCTGTTTAAATACAAAGAGTAGTTTAGATTATAACATCATCATTTCTTTTTCCAACAGAAGTTTTTGTTTTCCTTTTTAATCATGGCCGTGTTTTTTTTTTTATTATTATTATATATTTTTTCTGAGTAGCCTATATTCCTGTAGATAGTAGCTTTGGACTGGAACAGAGTATGAAAATTCCGTTAAGCATTTCCTGGATTTGGGTATATCAGTATATTACGCCATGCCACACAGCTCAGTAACAAAATCTTACTGAACATTTAGATTAAATCATGTTTTGAGTATATACTGGAGAAAAGGGCTATTTATGGCACTACATAATCCATGCAATGCTAAAAAAAAAAAAAAAAAAAAAGGAAGTACATTTCTACTCAGTCTTCAGATGTTACATACCTTACACATAACTTACCTAGTGGGTGAGGACAGCCAAATCTGCCGGTTTGGTGTTTGTTTATTGATTACATATGTTCCCATGTCTCCACCTAATTTAACTGTTAAAACTCCACTCTTAAATCACAAAGAAAATAGTGAAAAATTTAAGTTTGTATCCTGTTACTTGACAAGAGTTACATGATCTGCAGTTTGTAAACAGAAACTTACACATCTGTATCACATTCCCAACTATTTTCCAAACAGTAACAGCTTGGAAGAATGATTGTTATGAATGAACAGTGAGTGACAATACCTCAGACAACCTGCACATCTTTGAGCCTGACCTAGACTTCAAAACTTCTGGTTAGTTTGATTTAGTATTTGCTCCATTCACAACAGCACTACTTAAATAATACTCTTGAGCTTTGTCCTGTCATCTTGAAGCTCATAGTTCATTTTGCAGTGACTAAAACATCACTCAAACCCAACTTTTTCTACCCATGAACTGGTGTGGTTCCAAATCAAGAAGATTATCTGTTGAGACTACATTCCTGATCCATCCACTTTTACCTAACTTTCCTTCAAGTAACTGTAACAGTTTCCAAGTGAATAAACACAACTCTTTCTCCAATAATTCTGATGAAGTGCCTAGATCCTGAATCATACCTAAAAAATGTTCCACTTCTAAACTCCAGGTCTGTTTTGTTTTAGTTATGCCAGCTTCAGACCATTATCCTAGTAAGCATTTCTGTTCTCTATCTTACTCACATTTCTTAGTGACAACATGATTCATATTTCTCTGACATTTTCACAAGTGTGTTCTGAAAAGCAGCTGACAAAAATGTTTCTGTCCTAAGGAGCATAAAAGAGTAACAACATTTGGACCCGAATTAACCTACAGATGATCTGAATTTATGCTGGTTAAAAATAGCATCCCAGCAGAACACGATTTTATGATTCAGTTAATAGCCATATTTAACCTATAGTTCCTCAAATATATCACACCTTATAGCACAACAAAGCTTCTTTGGTGCGTCCATATTTTTCACACCTTAGAATATATTACCAGAGCTACTGTCGCTGCTAAGGCTATTACCTATGTAAAAACACTTAATCGTGGGAAAAAAAAACATTTTCATTTGTGACTGCCTACAAACTAACTTTGTAGCCCGTCCAGCAGCTTAGAGCCCCCTTCTCTTACAAAGTAATTCCATGTTACTAATTTCTGACATATCTTGAGGTTCGTCAGCAATGAAATAATTCTCGCAAGGTTTGACTTTTCTTTACTCCAGTCTCCATGCTCTTATTTGTGCTACTAGATTATAGATTTACAGCTGTGAGCAATAAAATATAAATCAAGACATCTCTGGTTAATACTGCTGGCAGGTTGCCCTGCTGGTTATGTTAATTCAGAATTGGTTTAGAAGGGCAAGAAGAGCCTACTTCTCTGGTTGTCATCAGTTCAATCTTTTCTATGTATCTGCAGTCTTACATCTGTAGAGATAGAGCAGAGTAAGAGCATGTTGTGATGATTAGCCCTGAATATGGATATAAAGGTGTCGGTATTCTTCTGTGTGTTCCTTAGTGCCATGTTAAGTACTCAGCATTATGTTACACTGTGTGCTACAAAAGCACTGTAAATAAATTGGTTTCCAAAGAATTAACAACATTTTATACCATTGCTTACATTATGTGTCAGCTGTGGCAGAGTACTATTGCTCTGTCATTGTAAAGGTTAACTTCTAGTGCTGGGTTTTTAAAACTTTTAACCCTACATTTGGCAGCACTTTTGAAATAATAGAAAAGACAACTTGAGCTGTTAGGAACTTTAAATGCAAGATACTTTGATCATATTTTAAGAAATTCTACTGCATATGTTTTTTACTATCATATGAATGTTTTAGGGCTTCTGGAAAAACGTATATATTCCTCAAAATAGATTTTTTTTTTTCCTTCTGGACACGAATATGTAAGTTGTGTGAAGAAATGAAGTTTAGTAAGAACTCATAGGTATAAGAAGACCTTCACCACGTTCGCCACCTTGTGGCTTGCTGCAGCACTAGCCTTGCTTGTCTGGAATTACCCTCGGTAAACCTGGCACTATTCAACCCTTATCTCTCAACAGAAACTTTCAAGGCAGTATTCATCGTACAGTCTGTGCAACAAAGGCGTACACGTAAAAGTTAGGATGGATGTACAAACAACTCTTTAGAGCCCCAGAGGGAGTGCATGTCAAGCGCAAAACACTCTGCAGTGCCTGGAGACAAGATTACGGCAGAAACCAATTCATAACCTTCAGATAACAAACTTTAAAATACTACAGAGGTTAATGACAATGTTTTTGCTAATTTTTGTCTTAAGCTCTTTAAATCAGTCTAATAGATGAAAATATGCTGAAACATACGGAATAGTAATAGTTAAACAATTCATTGCTATTCACCAGAAAAGTAATTAGACACAATGTTATCACACATTGATTAAAGCAAGGAATAATATGTGCTAAGCGCAAGAACAGAATCTAACTAACAATATGTTACTTTTTATCTTAGCTATGAAAAATAAATAATAAACATTATGATGACATAAAGTTGCACAGGAGCAGGTCTGAAAACTACAGTTGTGTTTTTGTTTGTTTGTTTCCCCCCCACCTCCGTATAACCCAAACCATCTGGTTCAATGTCCTGAGCATAAAAACTTAACTGAGAGAGCTAGCAGAAAGCAATCTCCAAATGGTAAGATTGGAACAGGGAACAGTAGTTATGCAAAATAATAATTAAAAAAAAAAAGCTTTATGGAAAGACCTGCGCTGCAGACAGCAGTGTAGGGAGAAATGCACTTTCCTCCTAGTCACGTATATGGTTTTAAGATACAACCCATTTCAGCAATTTTACATAAAACTAATAAACTCCTTAAAGAAATACAGTGGCCATTTCTGTCTGTCACCCTGTAAAGCAATATGAGTGGGTGACCTGTTAAAGGCTCCAACTATCAGGCTATCAGCCACGCAGCGTCTCATGTGACCAAAGCCTTCTCCCTGTGCATGCTCACTTCTCAGTTTTGCAACAACCTGTTGAGACATCCTCCGTTGATCCTCTTCACCACAGGCTCAACCTTTATCAGAGGCAGATCAAACATAATCTGTCACGGCTGTTCAAGGCACATGCTCCCTCTCAGTACTCATGGCCATCAGTGAAACTGCTCTACCAGTAACGTGATTTACACATACTACACCACATAGGCCTGCTCTAGCATTTACCTTGAAGATTCGGGTTGCTGATGTCAGAAATCAATGTAAATTTAGAAAGACATAGAAATTGATTTCTGATTCGACAGTGGTCTCTACCTCCTCTTAGGCTCAGTCATTATTCTATATTACGCCTTTCCCTACAGACTAAACATTTTAAATTGTCAAATCAGATAACCACATCACTTTTTACCAAAATAGTCAGTAGAAGAGGCATATTTTTAGCAGTAAAGCTGTAAAAGAAATACTTTTTAAGTTCTGTCCCTAAGGTGACTAGTTTAAAATTCTCTTTCAAAGAAATAAATCTACAGTAATTAAAAGTGTTAACAGAATATTTAAAACATACCCCTAAAGAGACATCGTAATCTTCTGGGGTAAAAGGCTTATCGGTTAGGTCCTCAAAGAAATCTGCTAAGGAGTCCAGTGTTTCTTCAGCCAGTTTTTCATAAGTGGTCTCATCTAAAGAGCTACGAACAACATAAGATCACATAATTAGGAAGGAAGACATGGAAGGCAGAATTTTCCATATAATGAAAAATACCAAGACCGTGGAGGACACAGTAATCATGAAACAATCACATTAAACAAGCAGTCTTTTTTTTTTTTTTAAAGGTGATATAGGCAGGTAACAACACACCTTATAAATGGAGGTGGAATTTTAAAATTTGTGTAGTAGAGAACTCCAATTAAAGACCATGTACTTCTTTTTTTAGATAATAGTGACCTATGAGTATTAGGAAGATAGAGTTAGGTGTCAAAATAAGGCATTTTCATAGAAGAACCTTCTGTAAGAACAAAGGAAGCCATAGTTAATGTTTGAAACTGTATGGATAGACACAAGACTCTCCCGTTTAGAAGCACAAGTAATTTGACTATACGGAACCAAATGTAGCTACAAGCAGAGATTTAGAAACATCAATGTCAAATGTCATGTCTACATGCAGCACTTGATTTCTCCCCTGGAATTACCAACTAGTTATCATTTAAAATGCACACATGAACTAATGCTTTTACAATTAACTTCTTCAGCTTCTCAAAGAACCCTTGTAGCCATTACATAAGGCTTACAACACTTACGAAACCGCTTCTGTTATCCTCTTTAAGTCTAGAAATGCTATCAAATCACTGAAGTTTTTCTTAAAAAACTGTAGCAGTGTCAGCTTTTAAAGATTGTTTTAAAGATTCTGTTGGTATCTCTACCAACAGACAATTTGGTGAAATCACTTGTTTTGCTAAGAGATACAGCAAAACAGGAGTTACTGTGATCTACGGGGACTCGGTATATTTCACCTGATGTAGAATGTACTCTTTAAAAACATTTCTTATTAGTCAATTACCAAAACACACTCCACACCACTTACCTCAGGGATACCACAGAAATACCTACAGTTCCAGAGAACAGAAGGCCTGAGGATTAGGCAGGACTCACGTACTGATTCAGGATGCAATTCAGGTACCTAATGGTAAGCACCATTCTAGACATCTGCACAATATTTAACTGGGCCTCCAACTGCAGCATCATCCAGGGAGAAGTCTCTCACGGGTACCCTGTCACATCCTGCCTGTGAAAGGCACAATTTTCATGTTCCCTGACAATGTGAGATGGTGCCAGGCACCCACCTTTCGGTACAGGAGTTGTTCCCTGTGTAGCCTCCCAGACACACACAAAATGATTTTCCCTAGAACTGTACTTTTCCTGTGAATCATTGTATCAACATTATATTAGTTTGATAGCTGCACCACATCTACAATTGTTTTAGAAGGCACAGGCGATATTTTCATATGAATAACATAGTCTGGGAATATTCTCAGAACAACATTTACCTTCTGTCACTCAGAGTCCCTGCGTTTCTCACACTCACAAACCGCACCGCCCTGCTCTTCAGCTCCGACGCACACTGTAGCTGCTGTCGAAAATAAATGTCAGTAAAAGGGAATTAAACGTTAAAACGCGAGGAGCATGAATCATGTAGTGGTCACACAAACTGAACAGATTTGAAGACCTCGCCGTCCTCAAGTAAAATATTTATATTCTGTATTACAGAGCTAATACCGGAAGAATTATGCAGCTTTAGTCCCTTGCATGACTGAGTCCATCAGTAACATCCTTGTTTTCTGTTACAAGCGAGTGAGAAAAAAAATAAAAATAAATATAGATATAGAATGGAGAGCTATTTTTTTCGCTGTAACACAAAATGACAGAGGAGGCCCGAGCCACACTCGGGCTCCCCCCCGGGCTCCAACCCCGCGGTGCCGGAGGAGCCCCCCCGGCCGCGGGGCAGGCCCGAGGCCGCCCCGCTCCCCTCCCGCCCCCCTCCCGGCCCCGCACTCACCGCCCGGCCGCGGACGGTGGCGGCGGCCGCGGCCCCGGCCCGCTCCAGCGGGGCGCCCCCGGGGCCAGCGCTTCGCCGCCGCGCCGCCGCCCGCCGCGCCGCCCGCACGGCGCAGAGCGCTGCCGGCCTCCACATGCCGCCGCCGCCGCTCGCTGAGGAAGCGGCCGGGGAGGAGCCTGCACCGCACGGCCCGGCCCGGCCCGGCCCGGCCCGGCGGCGGCTAACGGGAGGCCGCGAGGCCGCTACCGCCCTCCGCCGGCGCCGCGGGGAGCAGCGCAGCGCGGCTCGGCCCCGGCGCCCACAGGCGCTGCCCCGGCTCGGGCTGCCGGCCCGGCGGGGCGGTGTGGAGCTGGGGAGCGGTGTGGAAAGCGTTACTTACACACACACACACACACACAGAACAAAAATAAATAAAAAGCAAAAGACTTACCATGGAGATAGATAAGAACTAACAGGCGCTTACTGCTTGATTACCGTGTGCTGCGTTTTTACACGTCTAAAACTCACTGGAGTAAACAGCTGGCACCTTGCGATGCTTCAGGAAATAGGCCGTCAGCTTTTCAGCAAAACTTGGTGTGTTTCTTTGGTTGGTTGTTTTTTTTGTTTGTTTGTTTGTTTGTTTGTTTTTTTTTTTTGTTTCTTGTTTGTTTGTTTGTTTGTTTGTTTGTTAAAGCAAAACTTGGTGTGTTTTATGTTTGTTTGTTTGTTTGTTTTTCTTTCAGCCCAAAACCCAGAGAATTCAAGTAGGCTGTGCACATTTCAACTGAGACTTTTGATGTGTGTAGTTGAAAGCGGTTTTACCAAACCAGGTAACTTCGCTTCGCCACCCCGTCTCTTTCCAGCAGTGTCCTGAGTGCTGTTCTGTTGCGAGTGCCTTCTCTCGGACTGTATGCGTCCTTGTTGCAGTCTGCCACTGCAGTTTTTATATGTCATCTGGACACAAGATGCTCTCTTGTTCCTTGAAGACTGATCCCACGTGCTTATCACTACTGGAAGAAACTACTTGTGTTTTTGCAGCTACAGTGGTCTAAACGTTGAGATAAAGCTTGCAGGGAGAAATAACTTTTATCAGTCCAAAAAATATGTTAGTAAAGCAAACAGTTCTTTTTTCATACGTTGGTGGGGAGAGGGTAAAGCAGCTGGAAGAATGCTTTTTTTTTTTATTTTAGTAAAAGATAGTGCCTGCTTATACTTTGCCATTCCTATACAGCATCCTATCTAGTTTGCCATTTCTATAAAACATTATATTTTCTGGTAGTTTCCAGGTAGTTTCAGTGATTTTTCTTTAATGGTCCAAGGTTACATGCAACTCTCAGTAGGAAACGTGCATCTCTTGTTTCTAAGTTAATAACAAGTCAATGAATTAGCGTAGATGGAGCATTTTCTTCATTGTTAGCATTCTTAGTCTCGAAACTCTCAAGAAATTGACAACAATGTTCACGGTAATGAATTTCACAGTGCATTACTACCAGAGATGATTGTTTCCACAACTTCGAAAGGGTACAAAGAATGTGATTTCTCCAATGATTCATTACGTTTTTTGTCACGATCCTTGTTCCTTAGATTAATGTTCATACCACAGCAAGTTGCTATCCGTACCTTTTTAGGCTGGCATAAAATACCTGCCAAGCATTTCCAGATGCAAAGTGGCTGCAAGCTCAGGCCTTGTGCCTTCAGTCTGTAAAGAGTCAGTATCAATCTGTGAGCTACTGCATGCATCCTGGCAAAAAGGGGTCAGCAAATGGCCTCTGTGTAGCACAGCTGGAGCACATGACCTCTTTTATATGACCTTTACCACTGCCTAGCGTTCTGGGTTTGGGCAAGTAATATCAAGTTATATGAAATGAACTTACCTGCAGCATAAGCAAAGGCACCAGGAAAACAGATCTGGGGATAGGAGTTAGTGTTTTCAAACTGCTGAATTCTACTGCAAGGACACAAAGTCACAAAGTACTCTTTTTTTTTTTTTTTTTTTTTTAATAACTGAGGATGACTATTCAGTGCTATTAGTAAAGGCAAAGCTCAACCTCTCAGTACTATATGATTAAGTTACAGGGCCAAATACACATATCTGGAGTTATTCACAATGTATCAGTAAGCAGGCACCAACCTGTGCTTTTTCTTTCTGGGCAGTTTACAGAGCCAGAATATTCAGATACCACTGCACCACGTTTGTGCCCTCATTCTTCAAATTTTGCTCCCTGTGGTGAGTTCCATCTGTTTAGACCTTGATAAATAGTCCAATATATCAATTTAACACCCCAGGGAGCTGACTATTTATGCCTATGCCTTCTGTACGTATTTTATTTTTACTTGACATGTATTGCCATATCCTCTTCATAGATAAACATCTTTGAATTTTTATCAAAGTGCTACCAATGCAAAATGAAGAGAAAACAAATATCCAGGCATTAAACATACACATCCTAAAAGCCCTTTATAATTGTTGGTGTTTAAAGTTTTACACTATTTCACGTGTTAGAGAAAGAAATGGATTCCAAGTTACTGATCATTAACATTGCTTAGCTGTAAACCCTCTTTCCCCTCAGTGCAACCATGGGGTTTTAAGTCCGTGTGCTTTGGAGAAGGTTTTCCCAGGTTCCAGTCTATACAGGATTTATTTTCGCAAGTATTAAATTACTGTTTTCATTTATAAATGACTGTTAAAAGAGACTGTACACAAAGGGTAGCTCATGCTCTGAATCATTTAGTACAGGAATACAGACTTTCTGTTTTGGGTCAGAATGGTTGCATTTAAGCTGTGTGTCCTTAGGAGTCTTTCAAAGGACAAATGATTTGGACACTACAGCTTGCTAGATAATTGGGGAAAAAATGACATATATTTGCCTTCTGGAAGTTAGTCTGGTGCTTAAACTCAGCACTTCATTCCCCCCCCCCCCCAATAAAACTGATCAGAAATACCTACTTTTCACATGGATGCCTTTTAAATATACTATACACTGTGCATAGTTGAGCAGACACTTTATGTGGATGTACAATTTTTTTTTCCCTTAGGGCATGCAGATTTGTCCCTTGCATTTCGAAGAGGAATGCTGCAGAATTATCTTGCTAAGATTAAGCAATCTAATTTTAAAGCCTGCAAAGGGTGTAACCATGGGACATAGGCTCTAGGTTAATCCAGAGACTCTACATATTTGGCAAAGAAAATCATCATTTGACCTCTACGTTTCTGTGTTCTGTGCATGATAGAAGAGTAATAAACCCCTCCCTGTTAAGGTTTGAGATAGTATCAATGTAAAAGAAAAAAAAAAGTCCAACATCTTAAATTAAAAATTCTTCAGAGGTACAAAACATAATTCTAAGGATTGAAGTGCTGAATTCTGGTTTTGGCAATACAGCAGGTTTAATAGTACTTATTCCTACAATAAATGTTATTATCAGTTACTTCCACAGTCTTTGAAAGTGACTGCTATGTAGTTTTCTTTAAAAACACTACTGCATCAAGTCTTGGATTGATGATCACCAGTGTTTGTGATCGTCTCTCAGCTGCTAGGGAAATTAAGGAAACCAGAATAGATTTTATATTTATCTTGTAACAATCGCTTATACTGAAAAATATGAAAAACTGTTATGAAGCAACGCCTACTGAGTGCATTCCTTTGCTTTTTCCGCTTAATGTTAAGATTCCACTCTGCATTAAAGAGCTGGTAGGAGATAAATACAGACGCACCGTTACGGAGCGGTTGGTATACCGCTTGAGGTCCCTCTCAAGCTGTCTCATCAAGGTAGAGACATGCCAGAACAGTAAGTCCTGTACAGACCACAAGCATGTTGACAGTTGTGATAGTCTTGAGAACAAAATATTTTATTCATCAATTAAACTATACTTTACAGTAGTATTTACTAAATAAATTATATAATTTCTCTTTTACAAGAAATAAACTGAAGTTGAAAATATTCCAAAGACAATATATATACACAACATAAGGCCTTGTTATAAATAACATCTTTTCTTCTTTTCACCAACAGTGAAAATGTCTTTAGAGGTTCATTTTCTTCTAGTATGTGCAGAGGCTTACCCTAACCCTTGCATCAATTCCCATTTCCACTGACATGGATCTAAGTGATTACAACTGAAGGGTGAAAAACATGTGAAATTAATTATATTCACCACTGTGCTTATTTTTAAATAGGTAAAGCAGATAATATATTTTGCTTGTGCATAATTACAGAATGCATGCAAATGAAATCACTAAAGAGCTGATAAGAAAATATTACTTTTGAGTCCAAAAAAGGTGATTGGCAATACAGTAGAAAGCAGCTCGAATATGCAGGTCTTCACAGTTCAGCAAGCAACAGCAGATGATAGTGGAGTGTGGAATGTTTCACATCACTTTTGCCAAGTCCATCAATCCTTTCTATGGTTCAAAGATCCTGACGTTTCTTAGAAAAAGTTCAGTTGATTATTATTCTTTGTCTATTAGGCTCAGCGAATTCCTCCTTCTTAAACAGGAGTGCAGAAAGTGCTCTTCATTAACCACGGTCACTTCTCTGTCCTGGTTTTATTCTTCATGTATTCTTTATTACTGGAAATACAGAAATAAGAAGCAAAATCAGGAGCTGTGTTTATTTGCTTTCTTACAGAATTATAACTTGGTAACATTTCTATTCACCTAAAGAGCACACAGCACAGTTCAACAGTGATTCTGTATTTATCTTGCCCCCTAAAAAAAACTACTGGGTATCTTTTTTTTGAAGACAATCCAAACTGAGGGCACTCAGCAGTTCACAACAGCTTTTTTTTTTTACCTTGCAGAACTGACTGGAGCTCAAAAGAAGTGTTAGGGGACAAAAGTGCAGTTTTTGCGTGTCTTCTGTAAAAGTCCTGAGAGCTCCTGCTGGATAGTTTCCCAGTTGAAAAAACATACCTATCCAAAATCTTTCAAGAACAACTTATGTTCAAGATCAGAACAAACTTCTATTCACTATAAATAAATAAATAGTTAAATTAACTTGCTCTTACTGTAGAAAACTAAAACACTATCTTCCACTGAAGCAGCTGTTAAATAATACAAATAGTTGATCACTTCTTAGTATCTCCATTGAGTCAGATTAATTAAGGAGAGGCTAATCTTGTCTGGAAACAGCAACAACAAAAGCTCTGAAGGCATTTTGAAAGCTCATCTTAGAAAGTGAACACCAGTAGATATAAATCAATATTTTGATATTGATATTATTTATTATGACTTCTGGACTTAGACTTTGAACCCGGCAGAATGATACTAAAATGCTGCAAGCTTCAACCTGCCCCTGTATTGTGCACTACTGTTATAGTCAGTGTGTTCATAACCTCTGATGGTTAACAAAGTGCTATTTTCTCAAAGGGTATTCTGTATTTAGCAATGAAAGACTGCTGCCATATATCTACCTGACTGCCTGCACGTAGAAAAGTAGTCAGTCAGTCAGTAGGTACTTACAGGATGCAGAGCAATTGAATATGCAAAGGCAAATTGTTGGACAAGTGAGTAAAATTAAGGTAAGAAGAGGATGATGTGAGGCTAACAAGAATTAAAAAAAAAATTAAGATCAGTTTGGAGAAAAAAGGTTGAGAAGCACAGGGTAAACAAAATAATCCGTTATGAAGCTGACATAAATGACTGAAAATTTTCACTGGTTGCATCTAGTTTGTGTCTGAAAGTTCATATCTGAATGACAGCAAGTCCATTTCTGACAGATATAATGGTGATTCAGCACAACTTCAGACCCTCTGGCTTTGTCACTGCTTTTTACTCTCTAAGGAGATCAGCAATATTGTTGATGCTAGCTTTATGATATTCCACTACTACACAGTTTTGACCATATTATTCTTGTTGCCTTACCTCTGATCCTTCCAAAGCATTTCAAAGAGATTAAGGATGCAAAAACTATCTGCAAAATTTATATAACAGAATTGGAAAAGATTGCCCTGACAGAAACAAACAGCAACTGCTAACTGTGTGAGTCAGTCACAGAAACGCTGTGCATGTGGTGGGATTCAAATATTCATCTTTATGTCAAGTGCAATCCAGTTCTGTACATATTATTGTGGCAAAACCTCTGTCTATTGCAGTGCACGGAACATGAAGCTCTGAGAAACTGTCACCACTGCACACTGTATGCGTTACTTTAATCACTGATGTAAGAAACTGCACTTTCTGAAAGAGACAGTTTGGCCATAGCAGTTGGGTCTGAAATGATAGTTAACATACAAATGACTCTACCAGATGCATTCCTGTAATTACTGTCCGAGATGTCTT